ATAGGATCTCCACCATGAGAGATTTCAAGCCCTTCCCAATGGAGGCATGTTGGTTCCAACGATGGCCCAGCTGATGCTGCATCAAGAGGAATGAAGGTGCCCAATTTCCTTACAAACCACAGTTGGATCAAATGCCCCAGTTTTCTTTGGAAGTCTGAGGAGCACTGGCCTGAAAATCCTGTTGATGATAAGGTGGACTCCAATAATCCAGAGCTCAAAAAGGATGTTTTGGTAAACTCAACTTCTACTGATTCAGTTAATGCCACTGATTGTCTCATGAATTACTTTTCAGAATGGAGGAAGCTCAAGGTTTCTGTTGCCTGGTTTCTCAAGCTGAAAACATATTTGCTACAGCTCAGTCGTCAGCCAAAAGGTCTGAAGAACCCTGATCTAAATGATGGACGAGTGGTAGAACAAAAAGCCACAATAACATCAAAAGGTAACACTCTAATGTCCAAAGATCTGTTGGAAGCTGAGTTAGCCATTGTACGCTATTGTCAACAGCAAAGATTCAAAGATGAAATTTCCTCCTTGCTATTGTAGTGAACTAGGCCACCGACAACAATCTGTCTCTGAAGACCTTCAAGGGACAGGAACTGTTATTTCATTGATTTGAATCCAGAAATACAAATTAGCTTTTCCAGAGACTATTTAATTGTATCCTGAATTAATCAATTGAAAGAACACTCTTCTTTTTATATTATCATTACTATTTTAGAATATCTTGATAATCAAAGTGTGTTTAGTTCATACGATTTCTAAATGTTGAAGTGAACCACTCATTTTAAATCAACTGTGAAACAGTATTAATGGTTTTTAAACCTCGATAGACTTAGAAATCAAGTTAAATGTCTATTTACAAAGTAATTGTGCATTTTGATCTTCTGTCTGAATGAGGAGTAGTGATGTCGGTCGAAAGTCAGAGACAGTCAGAAAGCAAGTTATTAGAACGAAGTGTCTTGTTTTTAAACCTAGCAGACAGTAAACAAGAAGCTAGCACTTGCAAAGTTTCTCCCTTCTTCAAAACATTTCTCTGTCTGTACTAATCGTTCCTAAACATTCCTGCATCCCCTCTTGACTTTTAATAACCCTCTGACATCACTAAAACACCCCCCTGCTGGTTGTTTCAACCAATCAGGAAGTACCAAGTGACCGGAAGTGAGGACTCTTTAAAAAGTCAACACTTCCTGGAACTATTCAGTCTTCCTAGTCTTTCACCGGAGTCTTCCACTTCTGAGTGGAACTTCGAACTCAGTCTTCCTAGAGTCTTCTTCAGTCTTCTGGCGGTCTTCCTGCAGTTTTCCTGAGTCTTTCTTGGGACTATGGAGTCTTCCACTTCTGAGTGGAATCTCTGACTGAAGTTCCTGAGAGTTCCTAAGGAACTTTCAGATTTAATCAATAGCTGATGGATTTGACTGTGAGACGAGGGTCCGTCCATCCCAGCTGGAGTCACAGCGCCTCGCTGTGAACTCGCCCAGGCGTAACGCCCTACAACTTCGAAGGAAGCTTGTTCTGTTGAACGGAGTAAAACCACACGACTTCTGACGATGACCAGCCACCCTGACCGGAGACGCTGTAAAGGTAGCGTGCGAAGGGACCTCTATACTGGAGCTGTCCATCCACTGCAAAGGTAAAGAGATGTCACGAGTGTCACGCACTAAGTGGACCGGGGGTTTGAGCTGGTGTTGAAAGAAGCGTGGTAATTCTGGTCAACAAACATACATCTTCCTTCATCCATCTTCCTTTAAACTTCTCCATTCCTTCCTTTAAACTTTTCTATTTTGCCAGTAATCTAGATGCCTTCAGAAATGTTCTGTTGTCTTGTTAGTAAAGCGTGCCAAGTTTTTATTAATCAGAAACAGATCAGTAAATCAATGTGTACATGTCGATGTTAAATTTTGATTCTGTTAAATAAATGACCGCATTTATTCTGATGGGTCAAAGATAAAATGGCGTCTCATGTCACTGATTAAACAATCCTCACAGTTATCTCGGTCACATGACATTAATTTAACTCGAAAAAGAAAGAATCCGTTGTATTTAAATAATTAATATTCTTTGTGCTTGAACTAGCTTTAAGAATAATTAATTAGTAGTGTGTCTACAGCAAAGCTGTCCCTGTTTCACTACACTATCCAAGCCTGGAACAGTAAGCAGACAAAGTTACATCTACAAACTGGATCCTATTTTGGATAATGGGCTGTTGAGAGTTGGAGGAAGGTTAAAAGGGAGCAATGCCAATGGAAGAAAAACATCTTCTTATTCTCTCCAAAGATCAACATATTTCCAGACTTATCTTTAAACACATCCATCAGTTATTGGGACACAGTGGACGAAACCATACTCTGTCAACTCTTAGGAGGAAGTATTGGATTACCAATGCAAATGCAGCTGTGAGGAAAATCATATCTGAATGCCATTTTTGCAGACGCTTTAATGGGAGAGCTTTGGAGCAAAAGATGGCGGATCTTCCAAAAGAAAGAATTGTTCCTGATTTGCCTCCATTTACGAACGTTGTAGTGGATTATTTTGGACCTGTTGAAATCAAACAAGGCAGAAAAACATGCAAACGTTATGGCGTGATATTCACCTGCATGACAAGTAGAGCAAAACACTTGGAGATAGCAAACTCACTTGAGACAGATGCCTGTATCAATGCAATACGTCGGTTCATCAGCAGGAGGGGTCAAGTTGTCCATATCAGGTCGGACAACGGAACCAATTTTGTTGTAGCCGAAAGAGAGTTGAGACAGGCCCTCAGTGCAATGGATCATAAACAAATTCAAGGTGCTTTAATTTCAGCTGGAATTGAATGGCGTTTCAGTCCACCAGCAGGATCTCATTATGGTGGAGTGTGGGAGCGCATGATACGCCTTGTAAGGCGCATCCTTAACTAAGTTTTGCGCCGGCAGACGTTGGATGACGATGGACTTCACACTGTTATGTGTGAGGTAGAAGCCATTTTAAATGATCGTCCAATTACAAAGCTGTCTGACGATCCAAATGACTTGAAGCCTCTCACACCAAATCATCTTCTTCTGTTAAAGGGAAAACCTGCCTTACCACCTGGGCTATTTGAACCCTCTGATATGTATATGAAACGTCGTTGGAGACAAGTTCAGTATATCTCGGATTTGTTTTGGAAATGTTGGATCAGGGAGTACCTGCCATTATTGCAAGAGAGGCAGAAGTGGAATCAAAGGAAACAGAGTTTTAAATCTGGAGATGTCGTTGTAATCATGGATTCGTCTGCCCCACGTGGTTCTTGGACTCTTGCTAAAGTGATAAAAATTTTCCCTGACAAAAGAGGCATGGTGCGTTCTGTCAAGCTGCAGACCAAGAACAACATTACTGAGAGACCTATTACCAAACTCTGTTTGATACAAGGTGTAAATTGATTCAAATTAGTTTGCATTTCTGTGTATAACTGATTTATTTATTTTTTATTTTATTTTCAGATTTGGCTCCTATTGTTGTTGTTGTATAGAATTGTTATGTCTGCATGCCATAACAATTAGGGGCTGGTGTGTAGAAGCAGTTGATAAATGGGGGCCGAGATGATGTAGAGGCAGCCGGCTTGGGACCCGAAAGTCCCAGGTTCAATCCCCAGTCACTGCATATCACGTGGTGTCTCTGGGCAGCACACCTCATCCCCAAAATGCCCCCTGGGCGCTTTCAATAGCTGCCCACAGCACCACCTGTTGGTGGATGGGTTAAATGCAGAGAATAATTTCGCCATTGTATGGAAACATACAGTGCTGACATTGTGATTACATTATTATTATTAAATGAATATATTTGTGAACGGTTATTAGGTCACGTGGGTAATCAGCCGTCTATATAGTAGGAACCTTTCTTTGCGAGTTCAGGTGTTTCACCCGAAAGGGGGAAACAGTTTTTGACCGCTGAATACAAAAGAAACTAGATGCTGTCAACAGATGCAAGCGTTGTGAAAATATGTATTGCCTTTAAATGGACAGATGAAACATAAATAATAAATGGATTACCTGCAAACGAGCAAGGACGGCTCTGAATTTAATTCAGCTGACAAGGTAACAATCAGCGCGTCAACACTACCCCGGTGTATCACC